TTAACACTCAAAACTAGACCGCTATTTGTTATCAATTGTTATGTTGATTAATGATTATGATGAATGATTATTATGGATGATCATGAATGATGAACTAACTGATCAAAATGATTATTGATGATTCAGCCATGAGAGTAATGAATATATTGATAATTATTAAACGATTTGTATTGTTAAACGGTATCTAGAAGAACTCTAAGATATACCTATTAGTTAATTGATGTTAAGGCTATCTAGAAGACCTCTAGAATAGATCTTGTATTAGAACAGGCTTATGAAGACATGAACATTTGATGAATTAGATAAAAACGCATAAATGGGATTCATAGACCAAACTAGAGGATCACTCGTTTGGGAATGCCCGATCTAATGTTGATCAATCGCTATATTGTTGTTGCCTTAACTGACTATAGTTAAGTGTCCGAATCATTTGCCTTAAACTAGTGATAGTTTAAGTGTCTGATTGCCTTAACTGACTGCAGTTAAGTGTCCGAAATCAATTGCCTTAAACTAATGATAGTTTAAGTGTCTGATTAATAATTGCCTTAGAAGAATCTGGTTATGGAAATTATGATTTGGCCTTAGACTAAGAATAGCTAAGAGCATTATTATGATCTGGCCTTAAATTAAGAATAGCTAAGAGTATTGTTATTATCTGGCCTTAGACTAAGAATACCTAAGAGCATTGTTATGATATGGCCTTAGACTAAAAATAGCTAAGAGCATTGTTATTATTTGGCCTTAGATTTAAGAATAATTTAAGGGCACTGTCAGAATAATATCTGAATTGAATAAAATGTGTTGATATGAACTGAACATTATCAAAACTGTGAATGTCTGAAATGAACATTGTGTGCATGATATCAAATGATTTGATTATGAATTTAGATTTAGTTTATATGGATGTTCGACGCATTAGATATGCTTACTCAGCTTTACCGCTGAGCGTGTAGTATGTTTTATTTGCTACACGCAGGTAAGCAGAAAGCACAATGTGATCCTGGCGGCAGATGGGGCGAGATTGTCGGGATGGATGTGACAAGTTTTGAAACAATTTATGATATGTCAATATTAAAATCACTTCCGCAATATTGTTGAATACTCCGTACTGGATATGTTATGAAAAATATTATTGAGATTAATAAAGTGTGTTTGAAAAGTTTTAAATTTTTACGATTACCAAGTTAAATACTTTAGTCCGAATGGGGCTGCAGACCTGGACGGATTAGAGTGTTACAGCGACACCTTAAGGAAAACCTTATCCCCGACTGCATAGTCGATGTCACGCCTCTTAAGGTCGGCGTAGGACTTATGCCGGTCCGAAGCCACCTTAACTCGGTCTTTAATCACCTGGACCTTCTCCTCGGTCTCACGAACCAAATCTGGTCCCTCCAACCTCCTCTCGCTGAGCTCTGTCCAGCAGGTAGGAGTACGACAGGGTCTACCGTACAGAGCCTCATACGGTGCCATACCAATGCTAGCCTGGTGACTGTTGTTGTATGCAAACTCCATGAGTGGCAGGTATTGCTCCCAACCATCCCCGAAGTCGATTGCACATGCATGCATCATGTCCTGAAAAATCTGAATCACCCTTTCCGACTGACCGTCTGTCTGAGGGTGGAACGCCGTACTGAAGTGGAGATCGGAGCCCAATGCCCTCTGTAGGCTCTTCCAAAACTGTGATGTAAATCGAGGGTCACGATCCGAAATGATAGATGATGGAACTCCATGTAGCCTGATGATCTCGCGGATGTACAACTCCGCTAAACGCTGAAGTGAGAAGTCATGATGAATGGGGAGAAAATGGGCTGATTTGGTCAACCGATCAACGATGACCCAAACCGTGTCGTGCTTACGTGGTAACAGTGGCAGTCCCACGACGAAATCCATCGTGATGCGATCCCACTTCCACTCAGGAATGGTGATCTGCTGAAGCAATCCCGAAGGAACCTGGTGCTCGACCTTGACCTGCTGACAAGTCAAGCACCGTGATGTGAACTCCGTGATCTCCCGCTTCATCGCGGGCCACCAGTAATGTCTCCTAAGATCCTGAAACATCTTGTTACTGCCCGGGTGCATGGTATACACAGTGATGTGTGCTTCACGAATCAGGCATTCTCTCACCTCCCCTACTGGCACAACCATATGCTCCCGATAGTACAAGATACCCTCACGAACTGCAAAATCCAGCTTCTCTCCTCGAGAGACGAGCTCAACGGTATGGATACAGAAATCATCGCTGCTCTGGGCTGATGCTATCTGCTACTGTAATGTAGGCTGGATATGTAACACAGCTAGAGTCTTTCGACTAAGGGCATCGGCTACCACATTCGCCTTACCTGGGTGGTAAGCGATGTGACAATCGTAGTCCTTAATCAACTCTAACCATCTCCTCTGTCGGAGGTTCAGATCCTTCTGTGTCAACAAGTACTGAAGACTCTTATGGTCGGTGAAGATACGCATCGTCTCACCGTAGATGTAATGCCTCCAGATCTCTAAAGCAAGTACAATAGCTGCTAGCTCAAGGTCGTGCATCGAGTAATTACACTCATGTGGCTTCAACTGCCGAGATGCATAAGCAACGACCTTGCCCTCCTGCATGAGAACACACCCCAAGCCGTTATGGGATGCGCCACTGAAAACCGTATACTCCACTCCTGGAGTGGGCTGGACTAGAACTGGTGTCTGAGCCAGACACTCCTTCAGCTGCTCAAAACTCTGCTGACAGGCGTCAGTCCAAACGAACTTGACGTCCTTCCTCATCAACTTGTGCAGTGGTGACGCTATCTTGGAGAAGTCCTTCACGAACCGGCGATAGTAACCTGCCAGTCCTAGAAAACTCCTCACCTCTCGTGCATTACGCGGAGTCTTCCACACCGTGATCGCAGCTATCTTGCACGGATCTACCTTCACACCTTCAGCCGAGATGACATGGCTGAGGAAGGTAACCTCGTGCAGCCAGAACTCGCACTTGGACAGCTTGGCATAAAGCTGCTGTTCCCGAAGAATGCTCAAGACAATGCGTAAGTGCCCGACGTGCTCCTCCTGTGTCATTGAGTACACCAAGATGTCATCAATGAAGACCACAACAAACTGATCAAGATGCTTCCAGAACACACTGTTCATCAGATCCATGAACACTGCCGGTGCATTAGTCAACCCAAAAGGCATGCCTGTGAACTCATAATGACCGTATCTGGTGCGGAAAGCCGTCTTAGGAATATCTTCTTTCTTAACGGGGATCTGATGGTATCCTGACCGGAGATCGATCTTAGAGAAAACCATGGCTCCTCTAAGCTAGTCGAACAAATCGTCAATGCGTGGTAACGGATAGCGATTCTTGATGGTGACTTTGTTTAACTGACGGTAATCGATGCACAACCGCATCGATCCGTCCTTCTTACGGACAAACAGAACCGGTGCTCCCCAAGGGGACACACTGGGACGAATGAAGCCCTTATCCAGCAACTCCTGCAGTTGAGCCTTCAGCTTCTTCATCTCCGCAGGCGCCATGCCATAAGGTGTGATCGAGATCGGTCCTGTTCCTGGAACAAGATCAATGGAAAACTCTACCTCCCTAGGGGGTGGTAGACCAGGTAAGTCATCTGGAAACACATCAGGAAAGTCACATACCGTAGGGATGTCCCCCCTACTAGGCGCCTCCTGACGAGTGTCACGCACTATGCACAAGAATGCTTCACACTTCTTGCGTATGAGTCAACGAGCATGAATGTAGGAAATGAATTCTGGAGCTTTCGGAAGAAGCTCACCATGGATCAGTACGTCACTACCGTCTTCGGCTCTCAGTCGAACAGTATGAGCTCCACAGTCAACAATGACTTGGTTAGCGGTGAGCCAATCCATGCCTAGAATAACGTCAAACTCACGATGTGGAAGCTCAATGAGACTCGCAGGGAAAATCTTTCCCTGGACCACTAATGGACAATCGTGATACACATGGGTGTGTAACACCCCAACCCGCGTGACCCGAACCGACGGGTTAGCGAACTGGGTTGTTACTAAATTGGTATTCGCATGCGTAATTTCTTTTTTTAAAAAAATAATCAACTGAATAAATTATAAAATTCATCCGTGAGAGTTCAAAACTAAACCAAATTTTTATCGGAGTAACAAAACAAGTCCAAACGTCGCGGAAGCATAATAAAACCAAAGTAACGTCCAACAGTCCATGAAATCCATTAAAATAATGTAGTTTAATTATTAAAGTAATGAAGAGCCATCCACGCCACACCACCACTTCACTGCCCTCCGGGTTGCCCTTCAAAATCAGTGTTCCTACCTGCGTGCAGTCAAACAACAACGACTACACGCTCAGCGAATTGCTGAGTGAAAATATACCTAAGCTAGCATTAAGTCACATATTAGCACCACATTAACATCCAATCACAACAGCAAGTGGTCACGGAGAAAGAACATAGCTTAAATAAACATATTTATTTTAACACCTTCCATTTGCACATCATATCCTTATTTTATTCCACATCAACTACTTTGAGTCATGGCACCCCAAGCGATGCTATAAAAGGGCCAGCTCAGAAACCCAAAGGAGATTCACTTTGGGCGGGTTGAAGCCCCTGTCCCTGCGATGCCAGGACAGGTCGCGGACTTCCGTACGTACGTTTTAACCCAAGACCACCGAGGGTGCGACGACGCCCCGCAATGGCCAATTTCCTAACCGCATCCTATTGGTGATTAAATCAGTCAATCCAATTCAGGTCCGCCTAATTATACTAGGTGGCCTATTTCTCATACATTACTCATAATCCACAATATTCACCAATAAGATTAATTTAATTTAACATTAGTTCACAAATTCACAACAAATCACATAGCATCATGTATAACCAACAAATCGTCATGCATAATCAACAAACCCAAATTACAATTAATCAAACCTACCTGCGCGGAATCGAGCCCAAGGAATCGATCCTCCAGCCCGCTGCCCCCGCCGGAGCAGTCTCCATCGTCGCCGGAACAACCCCGGCACCCCCACCGATAGCCGCCCCGGCTGCCCAAACCCGAAGCCATGCCAAACAGCCCCGTTGGGCGATTCAAAACAACCCGAACAGTACATCAATTAACCCAAAACAGTCCAATCACATCCAATGGCACCCAATTGAATCTAAATAGCCCAATTGAATCCGTTTAGACCCAATTAAACCCAATTGGAACCAACTCATGCCAATTGAACCCAATTGGTCCAAATAGAGCTGCTGCCCAGTCCCCGTCAAGCTTGTCGCCGACGTTGCCGGCGGGTCGCCGGAGAAGATGCTGGAAAACAGCCCCCAAACCCCAATTTCATGAATTCAACACAAGCATTCACAATTCTCAATCAAATCGCCGGATTATATGCTAAGGAAGTTCTAATCTACGAATTAACGCTAACCGAAGGTATATAAACCACAAATCACCTCGAATTTGTTGAAGGGAACTTGAACCGGAGAAAGGGGAAAATTGCCGCTGTGACTCGTCGCGGCTCGCGCGCACGCCGGCGGAAAAGGGGAAGGACGGTCGCCAGCGCTGGTTGCCTTGGGACGGAGCTCGCCGCTGGAACCCCCGTCGTCGACGCTGGACCAGCCAGAAATCTTGCACGCCGTCGAAGAAGGGAGAGGGAGGTGGGGTCGCCGGCGCTGTTTCCCTGGAACGAGACCCATCGGTTGCTGCCGCGATCGCCGGCCTGACGGAGCGACGAAGACCACGAATCGGCAGTGCTGGGGTCGATGGGTTGAAACGGACGAAGAAAGAGGAGAGACGTGAGTTTCCCGTAACTGCCAGCCTATTAATATATAATTAAATAAGTTTTAAGGTCCAATTTACACTTTCTAACGAGTTAGGAAGACTTAGGCCCCAATTACCTCATTCGGCAGTCGTATCTTGGGCCCTATAAGCCCGATTCTTAATCCATTCGCGCGGTCGGGTTCAGGACGGTGCGCCCTACAACGTAGGTTAACTCTAATATTAAATACACAAATTAGAAAATAGTCTTCGTATTGTCTGACTCAGTAATTAAATAATTATATAAATTAATTAAAAATACTAAGTCAGGTTTCAGGGCGTTACATTTCTTCCCCCCTTAAAGGAATTTCGTCCCCGAAATTTTTCTAAGCACAAACTTCAATTGTTTGATTTCACAATCGCATTACGATCATGGTTGTTAAATTACCACACCATTCTCACAGAAATTCTCCTCGTTTATCGTTCGGGGTATTATCGTGGGAGTTTTGTATTGGTATTTTGTTCAAAACATCTGACAAGTTGTCGAGTTCATAATTCGATCTTCCTTGAGTTTGATTCCAACGGACATGTATGGAGTACCTCCATAGAGCGTCCCAACAATAGTTAAGCTTTCAGATATCGTAGTGCCTGTTATTTGATATTTCGTTCAGTTTATATTCAAAGTTCGTTTATTTCGTTGGCTTATGACATCAACATAAGATCTTCTCAGGATCAATTAGCCGGATTGTGACAATGCTCACACCTTCCTTGTAGTCAACAATTGAGTTTAGGATAGTTTGTTTCACTGTTAAGCTCGTCGAGCATTAGAAGTCGTTCCGTAAGTCTATCTAGAGTTTTTCTTTTTCCGATTACGATATCATGTCACGATCCCTGTAGCATATCGCCATGGCCAGTTTCATAGCATTGTCACTTCATACCTATGTTTCTCACGCGATGAGTTAACTTTTGATGCCTACCAATAGTGGGTTAATGTTTGATTATTATTCATGTTCGACAATGTTTTCGCATCATTAGCGTATTGGTTTATTTTGCTCGAGTCCACAACAATATATATTCCTAGTAACAATTATTTCGATCATCCATTTATCCACGGCTCTTTTTCCAAATTGAAAGAAGATTCTTCAACATGTGGTCACATTCTTGATCTTTGACAATGTCGAGGTACTCGGAATTTCGTTTACGAATCCTTTTTTTAGGAATTCAGTTATAAGAAAATTTTGCAAGTTTATTCATAACAATCTTTTCATTCAGCCATTCTTCATGCGATCCACTCGGAATGATTTGAATACTTCAGGTGACGGGATACGATATCGTCTTTTAGTACATTCGTACACGTGTCTTTGTTGTTGATAGGGTAAATCTTCATCGTTGAAATCTTCAGCAAGGTTCTCCAAACGTTGCATAGATGTTCCGACGGTTTCTGTAGGGTCATAGTGATTTCTTAAATACGTTTATTTAGAATACGTTCTTCATTATAGTCCAGTCAACTGTATCGCAGAGTACGAGTTTAAAAGTCAAAGTTATTACATAGAAATCTTGCCGCCCAAGATATTGCTATCTGCATGGGTACGTCATCACTTGATTTTGGGAAGAGATTTTGTCAATTCATTACGGACATACTATCTCCATTCACGTGTAGGAGTTTGATCGACGTCGATGGATCAAAGTGGAGGATAATCAATGTAGTCAACGTACAGATGCAGGTTACAAATAAACTTTAATGGTTCAAGAATATTAACCACTCGTTTGTCACAATATTCAAACCCATGTTCGTGCAGTCACACGCATTCGACAAGGTATTTCAAGAGTTACTTCTTATGGATCATCAGTCTCCAACACATTCCTCGAGCCAGTCTTTTGGAAATCCTTTAGTATACATTCTACATACGTTCGTGTTTAAGCTCAGGAGATGTTGCACGTCGATTAGTTAGTTGTTGACTCGTTCCTTGCGGAACAATTTTCATTGTGATTGATCCACCACAAGTTTGATCTGCACGTAAAGGGTACTTTGTCAGAAGTTGTAGCAACAAACGTTGTTTTCTGTGTCATCTATTTCTCGTATTCTCTCAGTGCATTCCGTTGTTCGTACCTGTTGTCCAACGGTTCGAGCGTCATACTCGTTGGTACTATATTGCCAGCATTAGGTCGTCATCATACGGTCATCATCATTCGTATTCTTTGGTGTTAAGTTTGTCAAACCTACGGTATGGTTCATTATAGTCTCATCAAGGATACGGTGATGGGACCTTGGTCATCATATCCCTGGGAGCATGTCGTATGCCCCAGCTAGCGTGAGTATTTTGCACGGTGCTAACCACAAAATTCTTCTCTTCGCGTCCAAGTCACGTAAGGATACAAGCTCAATCTTTCAGGCCCAGTGTCTTACATGATGTTGCTTCACACACATTTGTCATGTTTATGTTTGCTTCAGGCGTCGTACCCTAAGTGGGTCGTTCACGCTCAGAGTACTCAACGTAGTTCGGTGTTCAAGTTATCGTGTAATGCTCTTCTTCAAGTGGTACGTAATGATATCGTAACTTTCCAATCTTGGCGCGCATCCAAAGGTTCGTCCAAGAGTTTCAGGTGGCATTCAACTTGTGACACGACATTAATGGTAATGAATTCAACATTAAATTCATTCATCGATCTCAGAGAAGGTTCACCCTTCGCGAGTCATAACCTAAAATCTTCAACGGCATAGACGAGATTAAATTGATTCATTCTTTGAAAAGCAAATGTGCCAAAAGGGCATGAAAAAGTGGTTTTATCTTGGTTTTGCGGGGCAACAAGCACTTGAATATAACCAGAATAACCATCTAAAAAGCAGTAATGAGATTTTCCAGCTAGTCTTTCAACTAAAGAGTCAAGAAAAGGTAACGGAAAATGGTCTTTTTAGTGGCTTTGTTCAGTTTCCTGTAATCTATACACACCCTCCAACCAGTTTGTTTTCTAACAGGAATCAATTCACCTTGTTCATTTAATTCTACAGTAGTTCCCCCTTTTTTCAGTACGACATGAATTGGACTTACCCACTCTAAATTAGCTATGGGATATATGACTCCTGCTTGAATCCATTTTAAAAGTTCTTTCTCAACTACCTCCATCATAGGAGGATTAAGTCTTCTTTGATTTTCAACTCTTGGTTTCACATCAGGTTCTAGACTTATCCTATGACTACACAAAGTTGGGTCAAGACCCTTAATGTCTGCTAAAGTCCAGCCTATGGCTTCACTGTGTTCCTTTAAAACTCTCAATAACATTGATTCTTGTGGTTCAGTTAAAAGATTTGATATGATCACAGGAAGTGTTCCATTTTCACCCAAAAAAGCATATTTAAGATGAAGAGGCAACTCTTTAAGTTCAATTTCAGGTGGAGAAATCAAAGAAGGAAGTGTTTTGGTCTTAGGAACCTCCAAATTCAGTTTTAAAACAGTTTTAACCTCTTCCACAGAAGACAAATTTTCAGCATAAAAGCAAACATCATCCGGGAGTGAAAAGTTTAATTTTTCAATCTCAAAAGGGTCTAAACTTTCAGTTAAAACAGTGTACAGAGCATCATCATTTGATTTACTGAAAACTTCTTTAGTGATTTTATCAATTACATCCATAGAAAAGACTTTATTTTCGTCATGAGGGTGTTTCATTGCTTTAGAAAGACTAAATTTAATTATCTCACCATCAAACTCCATTGTTAAAGTACCCCCGTGAACATTAATTTTAGCCCGGGCTGTTTTCAAAAACGGTCTTCCCAACAAAATGAGAATGTCTGTTTTATCAACTCCCATATCTAGAATGTAAAAATCAGCAAGAAAAATGAAGTCATTCACTCTAACCAAAACATCCTCTAAGATCCACTCGGGGTAGGTGTGACTCCTATCTGCTAGTTGGATTACTACCCCTGTTCTTTTTAGGTTCCCAATGTGGAGTTGTTCAAAAATATCCTTTGGCATCACATTTATTGAAGAACCTAAGTCTAACATTGCCTTGTCAAATTTTAAGCTCCTTATCTGACATGGAACAGTAAAAACTCCAGGATCCTTACATTTTTGGGGTAATTTATTCTGAAAAACAGCACTAATATTCTCACTCATCAACACCTTTTCGGTCCCAGAAAGCTTATTTTTATGAGTGCAAAGTTCTTTAAGAAATTTAGCATACTTGAGAACTTGTCTGATTGCTTCTAAAAGAGGGAGATTTATTTCCACCTTTTTAAAAGTTTCAAACATCTCTTGATCTAACTCCTTCGTCTTAGGTTGTTGACTTAGAAACTTACTGGGAAACGGGGCTTTTTGATTTTTAAACTCATTGATTCTATTTTGAAAATCAATTTATTTCTGTTTATCAACCTGAGTGATTTCATTTTCAACAAATTTAGCATTTTGATTTTCAAAAGAAACTTGATTTGGATGAAGTTCTTTCTCCCTTTCTTCCGTACTGACAAAACTAGGTTCCTGCAGTTTTTTCTTATTTCGCAGCTCAATTGCACTCAAATTCTCTTTAGGATTCAAAAATGGTTGAGAAGGAAACCTATTATTAAGTTGGGCTTGCAAATTACTCACTGTAACTTCAGTGGCAGATTGTTTTTCTTGCATTTGCTTAAGAGTTTGGTCAAAACCAGAGAATTTGTCATCCATTTTCTTAAGAATCTGTTCCAAAAGTTGAGTGTTTTTTATCAAAAGAGGACTGTTGTGATGGATTGTTAAAATTCTGAAAATTACCCCTAGGAGCCTGGTAGTTCTGCCCATTACCATACCTGAGATTAGGGTGGTCTCTCCATCCCTCATTGTAAGAATTAGAAAAAGGATCGTATTTTCTTTGATTATTATTATAAAAAAACAGTATTTACCTCGGGGTGTTGCAAAGTCGGACAAGCATCAGTAGGGTGTCCTTCCAAGCAACAAACCCCACAAGGTTTTCCCTTAACCCCTCCGACAGTTGTAAGTTGTGAAATGGCATTGGTAAGTTCAGTAAGTTTGTTTTCAATAGAAGAATTACCCATTTCATTCACTTTCTTCACT